CCGCCCCGCCCCCGCCGGAGCCGTTACTTCGGTTCTCAGCGTCGTCCGGGCCAAGCTGTCCTAGTCGCTGTCACCTCCCCTTCTAGAACCGACGACAGAGATCGCGTCTCGCTGCTCCGAAGGCTGTGGACGGACGGATGTGGCTGTAGAATTCTAAAATTCTATCCTTTCTTCAGAAGCGTTTCTCCTCAGTTCGTTCCAGGAAAATCGCGAGCTCTGGAACCGCCGGACTAAACCTCTTCGTTTCTGCAAAGCTTTATCTAATCATCCCAGTGGCGATGAAAGTCAGATTTCCACGTCACTAAAAACTGTAGTTGTCACGTTCCGTACTAAAAAGGCCACATATTTCTAGAACAGATTGGATTTTATGCAACCTTTTTTCCTTGAATTAAAAGCAATTAAAAAAAATTTTTTTTTTAAAAAGTTGCTGTGGACAAGAAGGTGCCAGTATTTAATGTGAATATTTCAGGGGAAAATGTGTGGAATATATGCGGATAGTGTTTTCTTTCCGTACTGGGGATTGAGGCAGAGCTTGCACAGAGAGCTGCATCCCCAACCCTTCCTTATTTGGAGATAGAGTCCCTAAATCGCTGATTTATCCACGCTGGGCTGGAACTTGCCATCCTCCTGCCTCGGCCTCCCTCTACTCTTCATTTAAAATGGACAGAGCCCAGCGTGGTGGCGCACGCCTGTATTCCCAGCACTAGGGAGGCTGGGGCAGGACAACTGCTGTGGGTTCAAGTAGCGAGACCTTTCCTCAAAAAAAACAAAAACAAAAACACGAAAAAACAAAACAAAAAAACGGACAGAAACGGGGTTGGCTGGGAGAGAAAGGGAGAAGAGAGTTAGAGAGATTTGGAGAGAAAGAAAATGCAAGGAAAAGAAAAGGGAAGGGCTAGAAGGGAGGGAGGGAGGACAGTTTTCCCATGCACTTTAGAATCTTCTTCCCAAATACTGTGGATAAAATTGAGATAAAAATTATATCCTTGAATTTCTCCATTTAATGTAAGCATTAGTAACAATCTAATTCTGATTCATACCTAATAATAAACTCTTAGATGCTATTTCTTCTTTCCTCTGCTTTAAGAATCATTTCTTTATGATTTTAATCAATTGTGATTTTTGGAAATTCCATAATCACAGAAAAGAAAATGATTTTCAATATGTTCATTGATATATACATGTTTACTAAGAAACATGAAACTACTACTCCATAATCAAAAACTTTAACCTTCTTGGTGGCTGTTTCAAACAGTATGTTTTATTTTCCTAAAAACATAAGAAAAATAACGTGCAGTAAGAATCTTGATTTTAGAACACACGGGGGCATAAATAACTATCAAACCACTTTAATACGATCTTTGTCAACTGCCTGTCCTATAAATACTTATGATTTCAATTTTAGTCATTTTGTATTATTATTTGGTATTCTAGAGAAATGTTTACTTAAATACGTACAGAGCCTCTCAACATAGGCCCCTCATCAACACTAAGAATCGGCAGTGGTTCAGATTATGTATCGGCTAGTTCAGAGTGTTACAGAGTCTCTGTGCCTTGTGCTCTATTGCCTTTTTATCCCGAGTGCTCTTCCAGAACTCTCCATTCCACTCTAACTCCAGTCTGCTTCATGCTTGTGATCAGTCCATGTAGACTGACCTTTACAGCTAATTAGAAACAGTGGGTGTATTAGGATGATATTAGGAGCAAGATTGTCTTTAACATAGTGCTGTAGCTTTGTGATTTCGAGGCTGATCTGTAACGAGGTCTTTTTTCTTCTTCTTGCTAGTTTGCCCTAGAACACACTATTTTCTAGCTCTCTGTCACAGCGTTGTTGAAAAACTATGCGTCATTTAAGGACTAGAATTCAGATAAAACTCAAAAGTGTTAAACTCAAGAATTGACAACTGTGTCCAAGACAATGTTAAGAATTCATAAATGTAGAGAGTTTGTGTATGTGTTTTCTCTCTAACCTGCAGGAATACATATTAATGAACACACACACACACACACACACACACACACACACACACACAGAGGAATCTTTTGAGCCAGACATGATGGTAAAAGCCTATAATACCAGCACTTGTGAGGCTGAGGCAGGAGGATCATGAGTTCGAGGCCAGCTTGGGCAATGTAGCAAGATCCTGTTTCAACAACAACAAATCTTTCTGATATTTACTGACACTAATGGTCATTGCCACTTCAAATAATACCTCTTGAAATTACTATTTCTCTATTTTCTCTTTAATTTTTTAATGCTACCTTGAAAACAGACCAGTGCAGAAAGTATCTTCGGCTCATCCTAATCAAAATATAAATGAGACTTGTTCAAATCTTATCCATACTTCAAAGCCCACTTCAAATGTCACATTTTTATATCATTTTATACACCTTTCTTTTGAAAGCACTGAGCTCCCTTAATACTGGTATTCTTAGTGTCTCACTACATTTAAGACCTGAATGAATGAGTTAATGAGATGAATCCCATCATAGAGCTGTGGTGCAAGCTCCTATTACAGTTGTTAGAAGGTCACTCTTAGAGGTTGGGGTGCCTAACACCCAGGGTCTTTAGTGTTATATGCACATCCTCACAGTTAAGTCCTTCTCAACCTTTTCAGCTTCGTATGCATCACATCACAATTTGCCCCATGCAGCCTACACCATGTTTATTTTCTTTCTCTTCCATGAGTATTGTCAATGTTTCTTTCTCCATCTGGCAAATTCCAGGTCTCACCCAGCAGTTGCCTTCATTGTGAAGACGCCTGTACTTCCTCCCTCCTGTATTAATCCCTGGGCAGTTTACTTGGATCCTCATTTGTGTCCCCGCAGCACTTTCTTTCTAATCGTAGAACACTGCAAACATCTTTCTTGAGTTATTTATATGTCTTGGCCACTAAACGCCAACACAATGATTTATTATTTAATTTTATATATCCTGAATGCCTTAGTTAATAAGGAAAAATAAAATGGCACTTATTAATGCACTTTATAATCCAATGGATTTTGAAGTGCCTTGAAAATATTTTAAGTTTCTTGTTTGCTTTTTTTTTGCTTTATTTTAAAGTGGAGATTTGCTTCTATCAGTTTATTAATTAATTATTGAGACAAGGTCTGGGTATGTAATTCAGGCTGACCTTGAACTCAGTAGGCAGCCCAGGCTGGCTTCCTTCTGACTCAGCCTCCTCTATGCCTGGCTTGAGACTTGTTTTCATAATAATATTAAAATATAATTAACATGAACATTGTGCTGAGGTGTCCTACCAGAGGAACCTAAAATTGACCATTAGTATATTAACACCATTTAAGTGTCATGGCAGGACCAGACATGTGGCATGACACATTTCTAAACCTAAAATTTTGCTTTAGAATGAAAGATAATAAAATATATTTAAAATAATAACTGCCAATAAAAATATTTAAAATAAAATACACTGGCTAGGGAAAAAAGTCTTAAAATGTTAAAAATTAAGCCACTCCTAGTGGTGCACACCTGCAGTCCCAGCATTCTAGGAAGCTGAGGAAAGAGGATCACAAGTTCAAGTACAGCCTAGGCAGTTTAGTGAATTACTGATACCCTGTCCCAAAACAAAAAACGAAAAAGATCTGGGAATTTGCCTGAGCATAAAGGCCATAAATTCAATCCCCAGTACTGCAAAATTAAAATTAAATAATACAATAAAGTGGTGTCTAAATAACACAATGCTGTTTATGAAATCAGTGAAAAGCATTATGTGGGAAATTCAGAAAACCTGATACCGTGTGTATCCACTCATGTAATTGACCTTTCTGTGGCCACGGCTGGGTCCCAACACCCTGCTCTTTCCAGTTCCCTTTCCAGGGTTTCTGTTGGATGTTTCCCATCCAGACTTTTCAAGACCCTGTCCAGGTGCCAAGTGTAGCCCAGACAGGTTCCTGGGGACCTACACCCACTCCTTTGTTCTCCCTGCCCAGGGGTGAATGCGGGTGGATGACAGAGAGACCTGTGGGCAGCCAGGGGACGCCCCTCTCAGCAGGCAGAGGAGCCCTCCCCCCGTGGCTCATCTCGCCTTTGTTCACCCAAACGTGGGCACAAGCAATCACAGTAACACAAGATTCAGATGCTCTCCAGTAGCCATCAGTACGCGTTCTGATAACCAACTTAACCGCAGCTGTCTTAACTTTTCCCTAGCACCTGCAGTATGCAGTCA